GTAGGAGAAATATGTTTGGAAAAATAAACTGGTGTCATTGTACAGCATTTCATAAAACACCAGCTGTAGTCCTCACTAAAAATCTCTGTAGTACAAGTGGCTCTGTTATATTTTATCTACACAGGCTGTTCAAAGGTTAATAATGCTCTGTAAAATAATTTCCCAGCATGCACAACCAAAAAGGAAGCAAGAGAAGCTGTTGAACTGCAACTATTTAACAACACCACATAAGTACTGGAAAAAAAAAAGAAAGAAGCAGAAACTGAAATGATTTTCACAGTGGTTCTTAATATTAAACTTCACGCTAGACAACACATTCTTGTTAAACCTGTTAGACTCTAAACAGGACCACTTTTCATTGTGAATCTGTAGTCGTAGGTTGTGACCACTCCCCCTTCTCGATCAGAATGGTATTTTTGCATGGGCAGTTATTATTTTAGATTAGGCATAATAATAGTGCCCTGGTCATTCTGAAATTATAACGGAACTTGCCAGTTTAAATCATTTGAATGCAGATGATTAGACTGTTCTGATATGCATTTTAAATATATTTGTATTTCTTCTGAGCTGTTCTTACATGCAGTAAATCCTGTCAATAGGGTGTGTAGATATTTTTTGTATTTTCATAACCGTATGCACCAGTTATAGGCAAAGCAAATGCTGTACAAACTAATCTATATGAATTAATTTCCCTATTGATTGTACCCTAATTTATTTTTGGTTATGTATGTTCTGAAGAGCTTTCAGATTTTGGGGCATCAATAACATCACACTTTAATTTTCTACTGGGATGACGCCTTACGCAATATTACAAACTAGCAAGTAGGCTATTAGAGACTATTACAATATGAAGTACAAGTGGCTCTGTTATATTTTATCTACGCAGGCTGTTCAAAGGTTAATAATGCTCTGTAAAATAATTTCCCAGCATGCACAACCAAAAAGAAGCTAGAGAAGCTGTTGAACTGCGACTATTTAACAACACCACATAATTACTGGAAAAAAAGAAGAAGCAGAAACGGAAACGATTCACAGTGGTTCTTAATATTAAGCTTCACCTTAGACAGCACATTCTTGTTAAACCTGTCAGACTCTAAACCGGACTGCTTTTCATTGTGAATCTGTAGTCGTAGGTTGTGACCACTCCCCCTTCTCGATCAGAATGGTATTTTTGCATGGGCAGTTATTATTTTAGATTAGGCATAATAATAGTGCCCTGGTCATTCTGAAATTATAACGGAACTTGCCAGTTTAAATCATTTGAATGCAGATGATTAGACTGTTCTGATATGCATTTTAAATATATTTGTATTTCTTCTGAGCTGTTCTTACGTGCAGTAAATCCTGTCAATAGGGTGTGTAGATATTTTTTGTATTTTCATAACCGTATGCACCAGTATAGGCAAAGCAAATGCTGTACAAACTAATCTATATGAATTAATTTCCCTATTGATTGTGATAACCCTAATTTTTGGTTATGTATGTTCTGAAGAGCTTTCAGATTTTGGGGCATCAATAACATCACACTTTAATTTTCTACTGGGATGACGCCTTACGCAATATTACAAACTAGCAAGTAGGCTATTAGAGACTATTACAATATTTTCAGAATTGCTTATATAGTGAAATATATTTAATGATATGCTTATGGTAGTCAGTCTTTATTATATATCTCCCTAAATGTCAATAAATAGAGTCTTATTCCTATCAAATAAATAATACTCAAAAAAGTTTCGCTGTGATTGGCTGTATAAAGTCTTTAACAGTTAAAATGTCTCCCTTTCAAAGCCTGCATTGAATAATATCTCGCTCGGAATACTTACACAGCACCTTCTCCATTGATCCAGGCTACATTCTTTGAAGTATATCATCACTCTATTAGAAGTTGTGACATTTGGTTAAGAAACAAAACATTTGAAGTGCTGCATTTTCTAATTGGGAAAGTCGTTACTGCTTTTTTGTTCTCAAAAAGGGCTTTAATCAGGTAAATACAATGTGCATGGCTTTTAAACAATTCTTAGGGTTATCAACCATTCAGAAGCATTTTTGTAACAGTGCATTTTTGGATTAGGATTAATTTATTTTATTAAGTATTAAGTTATTGCTGTTTCCTGCATACGCTGACCTAGTGACCTTAAAAGAGGCAGGAGAACAAAATGTGGTATATAGACAGACGACTGTTGTTCTAAATCAGATTCTAAAATTCAAGCTATTAAGGTTTGCATAATTGATTCTATTTTTTAAAATGGTTTTGGTTTTTATATATATATATATATATATATATATATAAATGACTGAAATGCACAAACATACATTCCTTCAATGGACGAGCGTCTGTCCCTGATCAGTGTTGGGGATTTGAAGAACCAGAAAGGAAGGTAAGAAAACACCATCGTATTGTCCCTTCATTTTAAAATAAATTAAGATGCTATTTCTATTTAGAAATACCGCTACGTGACTAGTTCAAAATATGCTATCCGTGCAAATACAACCAACTAACCCAAAATATAACCTAAGTGCAATAATAACGATAATATTTGCCATTTGAGTTCGCTGTTGAGAAATTCACATGCTTTTCGATTGCAAATGCTGTTTGCTTGCTTAAAAATAAGGTGCTTATCAGAGCTTTAATTTAAGCCTTTTCAGTTTTGTATCTCAAATCTGAGAGTTACTTAAAGGGACTTGAAATATATTTTATTTAAACAAAGTACATTATTACACTAACGCTTATAGAAACAAAAACAAAAGCAAAACAAGGTGCTAATGCGGCCGTAATACATGAATTCAGATGAGGCAAACAAAAGTATATCTGCTGTAACAGTCAAAAGTTTTTCAGAACTAATATTTAAAATGCTAATGGCTCAAAGGTAAATCGTTATAGTAAGTTAAATACAATCACAGGCTTACCCTAGCATATCTTCTAACACCGCACACGTGGCAATGGCGCGCAGAGGCTCGATGGGGGAAAAACTGACCCATTTCAAACCGAGTAAATTTTCAGTGGCTCCATTCTTTTGTAGTGGCCTTCTAGCAAGGGGGAAAAAAGACAGTTTCCCAACCTCAGAACGCTCTAATCCCCTATTCCGAAATCCCCCAGCCTGCAATGAGACAGGCAGTGGGTGTGTAATTTGATTCAGCATGAGCGGCCACCAAATTGGGCGTTTCCCCCCTGCTTTCTTGTCAATTACAATTGTCTGATTTCATTGTGGAGTTCAAGGTTGTTCTCCGATTGGCTGCTCGTGACCGTGCGCTGGCAGGCCTGTCTCGAGAGGGTCACGGCAGAATGTCCCGCTCATGAAGGAAGACTCCATGGAAACTTCGACGGCCTGCCTCTCGTGCACATTAAACGAGAAATCTCAGAATAAAAATGCTTTGGGTCTATCTAGTCCCACTCTCTACCCAGAACGGCCAGCTTTTCTCTTTGAAATAAAATCTGCTCTTGGATTTTTTTTTCACCCCATGACAGGACAAAAGAGGCCCCTTTTCTCCCCAATGGGAATACTAGAACGAGAGTGAGCAAGCGATCAACAGGAGGGGCCCCAGCTGCACCTAGTTTAGCCCCCTGCGCGCCGTCTCCGTCCTCATTCACGCCACTGGTACACCACCCCTCCTTCCTACAGCAGTTGCTTTACACCTGGACTCTGATGTATGGCTAATTATCAGCTCCTCCTTGGGCAGGCCATGTCGGGGCACTCCGGGGATTGTACCAACACTGCGACAAAACAATATAGTCACTGGGAGGAGCTCTGTAGTTATTACAACGAATGAGCGGTTTGTAGAATTAGAGCACAGTCACCCCCGACAAGACCAACCCTCACAAAATAAAAAAACGTAATCTAAAGTACGATATGCAACACCTGCCTCAGTACAGACGGACAATCAGAGGACGCTTTGCAACTCAGATGCAGCACCTCGGGAACGGGTGATTTACATTGTACTGTAGCTCGGAGTCTTGCTTGCTTTTGTCTATTTGGTCTATTCAGGATCAGATTACAGACCCCCTCCCCTCAATCGCCCCCTCTGCTTTTTTCGTACTTCATCTTATGCCTTATGCTCAGCCTTTTACTAAATAACTGTGAAAAAGAAAAATTCATAAACACACTGACTGAGTGCAGAAAGGAGAATAAAAACATTATTGAAATAACCCGGGAAAGTCCTCTTGAAAACAGAACGCTGGATGAATTCCAAGGTTTTTTGAGCTGACCAATCAGTTTGCTCAAATAGTTGTTTCCTTTTTTTTTTTTCGTATTGTACCTAATAAGACCGTTTTAGATACATCACATAATAGGCTCACTGGTGCAGAAACAAAACAAAATGAATAAAGAGAAACTCCCTGTTTTACTCGTCAATTACCCGTTCGATTTGATTTGCAAAGCAGATACTACATCGGTAATTGTGTCGTTTACAATATGATCCAAATTTAACGCAATCAGGTTGTATATATCAGCCCCTATTTCTATATCATCTATTTCGTATGGACATCTAGAAATGTAATGTTTTTTTGACAATCACTTCACATCAGTTTTAAGGTGCAAAGATTTAAGATTCTAGTTTGCCTTAAAAAAGAATACTCGCTCATTTGCAGATGCTGGGATGTAAAACTATACTCCAATCTTAGGAAATAAACTTGTAATGATATTTTTTTTATATAATAATAAACCTCCCCAGCAAAGGCAAAGTGTCAAATGTTCACATTATTTCTTCTGTTACTGTCCACACACAGCATGTGGAAAAATCAGCACCAGTAAAAAAATTAAATAAATTCAAACAAAACAAACCAACATGCTAAGAACTACGTTCTTTCCCATTTTTAAAAAAACTTTTATAAAATATATATGTATATATGTGTACATATAAAAGAAAAATCTGAAAATACTTCTTCCTCTTTTTTTTTAGTAAACCAAGCAGTGTGTTCGAAAATATCTGCTTGTTTTGGTTTTGTGTTTTCTGAAAAATAAAAAAGTGAATACTGACCAAATAAAAAAAGATTAAAAGTGAACCGATTCTACAGAGTAAAAATGAACCACAAAAAAAACAAACAACAACAAAAATGCCTTTTTAAGAGAATATCCGGATGGCCTGTGTGACAAGGGTGTGGCAGACAGGACACTCTGGATGGTTTAGCTCACAAATTCGGATGGCGCACTCCATGCAGAAGAGGTTATGCCCACACGGGACCAGAGCGGCGGTCACTTTGCTCTCAAAACAGGTCATGCAGTCCCGAGCCACGGCAGGCGGAGAATCCGGCACAGGGAGACGTCCGGTGAACGTGATGGCGGTGGGCTCGCTGTGGGCGCGGGCACTCCTTGCAGAAGAGGTTATGACCACACGGGACCAGAGCGGCAGTCACTTTGCTCTCAAAACAGGTCATGCAGTCCCGAGCCACGGCAGGCGGAGAATCCGGCACAGGGAGACGTCCGGTGAACGCAGCGGTGACGGTGGTGGGCTCGCTGTGGGCGCGGCGCGCCTGGGCGTGAGGAGACCCGACAGCGTTGGAGTTTCCGGTGCCGCACGGTTCAGGCAGGCCCGGCGACAGTCTGGTCAGAGGAAGAGGCAGGCCTCCAAAGCTTTTAGAGCGCTGCTGGGCGTAGTATGCCACCTGTTTGGGATACTCGGGATCGCCCCAGCTTTGAGTGCCCTCAGATCCGAAGTAGGAGCATGGCTTGTCCCCACTGCCATGGTTGGTAAAGTCACCTTTACTGTAAATCCCACTTCCTCCTCCTCCACTACTTCCGACCATGGCGTCTGAGAAATTCTGGCGGAAGCTGCTGGCAAGCGGTTTGCGCGGGGCCCCCTGTAGCCCCCACACCTGCTGCAGGCGGCTCTCCAGACCCCCGTTGCCGCTGTCAGGTCCCAAGCAGTCGTTCACGACGCGGTAGGGCACCCGCACCTGTATGGTGGTCTGGCCAGGTAGCGGCGCAGGAGGCGATCCACTGAAAGAGACGCCCAACTTGTTCCTGGAGGCCCGCAGCATGGAGAAGTGCTCCGCAGCTGAGATGATTTCACGTCTGGCCAGGGCCACATCCTCTTTGCGGCCAGTGATGAGGAAGACTGGTTCTTCGCCTCGGACGGGAGTCTTGATGTAGGTGTTTGTCTTTGCACGCAAAGCTTTGATTTTGCAACCTGTTGAGTGAAGAAGGAGTATTATAATAGCAGTATAACTAATATCTGTAAGATAATACTTATTTTGCTTGTTTGTTTCCAGGTCAAAAGGTCACCCATGCTCAGAATCTGCAGCAGAACAAATCATTCGCAAAGTTCTTTATTTGTTGAGTGTAATTTAAACATTTTGGTTAATTTGATTGTATTTTCAGTTCTCAGTAAAAGTACAGTACTGTTTATTCTATTTAACACAATTTATTATGTTTAAATTGTCCATGTTTCATCATTTTACCATGCTAAAATATACAAAATTCTGCAGATTCTTTGCAAAAGTCAGCAGATTCAGTCTGGGCCTGCCCATTTTTCTATTTTTTCTATTGTACCCTATACACAAAATATACCAAATAAAATTTTTGATGATTAAAAATTAGCATTGTATTGCCTTTTTTGCTGCAAAATGTACTAAATATAATTTTTTGATTATAAAAAATTAAGTTTTGCAAATTTTGTAGACAATATATTAAAATATAAATTTTCAGAACAAATTTTGTTTTTGTACAAAATATACTTTTGATGATAAAAATGAGAATTATCTAGCAATTTGTTGTATTTGATTACACCCACTGGACCTTATTCATAAACAGAATAAATATCTGAGTTAATCTTTCTTTCTTTGTCATTTCTTTTCATAAAACTATTGATTGAACAATGCACATTGAAATTTCTTCTGCTCGTGTTTAATGAATGAGGCCCAAAGTGAATTTGGAAATGACTGTTCACTCTTCTCTGTTGTGGTAAATGTAGAAATCGATTAAAACAATGGCTTTTTTTCTACCTTACACTGTATGCATTACACTACTATTTTGCTGTTTCATTTATAATATAGAAAAAATGCGTCTGCTTTTAATTATTTAGCATAATAAATCCCATTAAAATTTTCCACTCTGTGTTGACGTATCCTATTAGATCCTATTAAAAAAAATCTGTATATACAATAGCGCTTAAAAATCACTGTTGTCTGAATGACGCCTCCTCTGCAACAGTGCCATGTGCTAACTGATAGTTACAGGTTCTATGATATTCAGCACCGAAACCCAAATTAAAACGTATCAGACGTAAATTTCCCAACTATTCTGCAGATGGAGTTGACTCGAGGACAAAGCAAGCATGCAAAATCCCCCATAAAGTTATTGTTGAGATATGAATTCATGACAAGGTGTGGTGCTCCACAGCATCTGCCTCGTGTTCAGCACCAGAGTATTTATTAGCACCTCAGTGGTGTTTTATCAAAAGTGGGGTGGCTTTCTCCGCCCAGGGGCCTGTTCAGTGGATAGATCTCTGCACACTGGTTTCATGCCTCATTGTGTACGGCAGAAGCTAAAAAAATTACCTGGATGGACTGTCTAGCACTGACAGCGGGGAGCACAGATTCCCTCCTACCGCTGAATCGTCCCTCTCGCTGCAGGAGCACATCTCCTAACAGGCATGGCAGCCACTGCAGGTGAACAAAGCACTGGAACCATACAGCTCAAAATTCCAACTAATGGCGATAACAAGGATACAGAAGTGTGCTGCTTTTTTTTTTTTTTGCCATCACTCTCGCTTGTTATGAGGCCAAATGCATCTATCTATTCATAGAAAAATGCAGTTAAATTAAACTAATAAAGGCCAAACGAATGTCACAGGATGTGGCAGTACTATCAGTGACTAATGAGGTAAAGACCCCATTTCGAATCCTCTTAATCAGCAATTTCCAATCCACACGCTCACTACATCCCAAGTTAGACCCATTTGGATTCTGAAAACGCGCAGGCCACTTTACAACTCAAAGTCGTCATATGCGGGGAACCCACTTGCTGGGACATTATTTAGTGCATATTTCATCTGGGTGAGATATTATGCTCCTAATGAATGGACAGTAGATGTTCCTGACCCCCTGCTTTGAGTGCAGGGCTGTTGTACTGGTAGACGGGGCGTGACTCTAATACAGTCTTTATAGTCTGTCTCTCCAGGACCAAATGCAACATGGCTTTCCAGGACACTGGAAATGTATCACGAAGTGCCTTCTTAATCACAATGAGACAACAGGGTCACCAAAGTGATCCAACAACACATACTTGCCTCCTCAACTTATTCCAAATATCATCACACATTCAAAATGCAACTTTTCAGCCAAGTCACGTTCATATAGCTCTGCCCTCAAAGCACACAAGGACTTTTACTTCTTTGTCTGACCACGCTGTCAGAATTTCAGCACTTTTAGATGCTCACGACACATTCGGACATCAGCAATGGACTAAAGTTACCCGACAAGTCCTCTTTGTCTGAGGTAGCCCGACAAAACAACGTGGTTCTGCATATGAAAGCCCCCAGGAACTACAGAGGCGCGCGAAGGAGCGAATGACACAATGTATCCAGTCAACAAAGACCGTTGACTGTTACATTGTATCCAGCGAACGCACACGCGTTCCATTTTCTGTTTCAAAAACCAGAATTACGCGCGCTCAGACGACAAAGGGAAAGCAGCATGCTGACATTGAAGGCGTGGATGTGGAATAACGCCTTTGTTCTCGTGCCCGCTGATAACTTTGCTTAAAGCTAAGAGGAAATGCCCATGTTTATGCCATCTACGCGCCGAAACAGAGTGCTGAATTGTGGCTAAAAGAGACACGTTAAAAGCATCACCACTCCCTTTTTCTTTGTTAAGACAGCTCCACACTTAGTTTGAGCCGCGCACCCTGGAGAACGAGTTGGAAAGCATGTGAAAGTGCGCATCGTTGTATTTACCTTGCCTCCCCACTATTTCGGCCACATGTTCGGAGCTTGGCACGGGGACGCACTCCGTTATGTTGCAGCCCCGTCCTTTGGTTTCGGTGGGCGAGCTGTCGTACAGGGCGCACAACTTGTTCTTCCCTTGTAACATCCCTGACTCGGCTGGGATGTGATTGTGGTGGTTATTGTTACTCCTGTCTTGAACTCCACCACCTCCACCCGCAGGAGCACCGTCCTCGCCCTCTCCAAGACCCAGCAGCGACAGTTGGCCCAGCGCAACTCTAAGGGCACGGGAATCGTCCTCCACGTCCTCGGGTGGCACCAGGAGGCCCTCGCTGCCGAAGCCGGCCAAATCCCCGCCGTAGCCCCCATTTTTCTCCATGATCCCTGCTAGAACCAGCAAGCTAGGCATGGCTAACAAAAGAGTGTGAGACAAAGACACTGGTAAGAGACTGGAGGAACAGCACCCTCGCCGCCACCCCGCCCCCTCCTGGTCCTAGTCCCCCCTTTGCGCTAGTCCCTCCCACAGACCAGCCCCCTCTCCGGTTCTGAAACGCAGAAGGCGAACGGGACACAAGGATGTCTGCGCCGAGAGGGGCCAGGCGAAGCGATGCTCCGCCCCGTCTGGTTCGCTCAGTCCCCGCCTATGGCAAGCCGTCTCTGCATGTATTCCCTAGAATCAATCTATTTTTTATGTTACTAGTAGGCCTACTCAGACTGTGCGGAATGTTTGTTTGTTTGTTTGTTTTCAATTTTTTTTAACCAAAAGATACTGTTTGATTGTTATTTTATCAGGATAAACAAATTGTTATATAATATATAATTTATAAAAAATATGACATTTAAAATGGTTAAAGTATTTATAAATTTCACACACACATTCTACTTAGTGATAAAAAATTATTATTTCAAAAATAAAAACAATATGCATTATATAAATTTTGATATTTTAGTATTATTGTTTTATTATTTTAATTTATTATAGTAATACTTATCCAGATACATTTATGGGACATTTAACATGTTATTTTTATTGATTGATTGATTTATTGATTGATTGCATGGTGTGATTTAATTATCAACCGCAAGTGAGTCATCATTATTCATAAAAATATTAATATGAACACCAGTAGAAAATTGCAGCATTATACAAAAAAAAAAAAAAGATTACGTTTGTATTAAGAAAATTGTTTGTTATTTTTATATTACTTTAATATATCATTTTATCCTTGAAGTCTGAGAAATATACTGGTCTCTATTGGTAATAACTTATATAATAATAATAATCGCTATTATTGTTGTGTTATAGATCCTATTTATTTATTTATTTCTAAAATGGATAAGCTACTAGTTTAAAATAATAAATGTTCAAACAGCTTGCCATGCCCTGCCTCTCTGAGACAGAGTCGCCAGCCATCCATCCATCCATCCATTCTGTTTCATTTCAGCAACCAACAACTCACTTCTAATGAACAATCCAAAACATCATTTTTATGCCGTAAATATTAGCCTACAACATCATAGTTCATTGTCTTGTGTTGTGAGGAGAGGCGTGCCAGAATGATCACACATGTGCGCCTGCAAACAACACCATGCAGCTGGCGCTCTGCATTCTCAACAACAGCACTTCTGTTGTGATGTTTGGTCAACGGAGTGTCATAACATGACCGAAAATACGCGGCGAGTGTCGGCGGCTTTTTAAGCAGAGGAAGTGAAACATCTGTCCCCAATATTTACCAAAACCGAAAGAGTTAAACTGACATAATTTGGGGGTCCGCCCACCCTGTTTGCCGTTGGTTGCAGCGGGTCACTGAGTTGTTGTTTGGACTACAGTTGCGCATGGAGTGCTGTTACACTGAGAGACACTGAGAAGAAGAGACACGGGGAGTTATCAGACAGACGTTGCAGGATCTGCACTGCACATTTATGGTAGAGTGAGAGAGAGGGAGAGAGAGAGGAGAGCGAGCACGTGTCTAGCAACATCGAAGGCAAACCTTGAACAAAGAGCATTCGTGTTTCCACCTCAGACGACACTGTCCTCATGATGCCACGCCTGGCGGCAAAGATGAAATCTGCAACAACAACAACAGCAGCAGCAGCAATAATACTACTACTACTACTAATAATAATACAAACATATTGTAGTTTGAATTGTATAAATGATACCAAATATTGATATTTTAAATATTATTTAAATATTAAATATTATTAAAAAAATTATTATTTATATTAAGCAAATTGATAACACTTGTAGTTACACTCCTAGTTTAACCTAATTCATATTTTCAACATTTTTTTATATGTAATATTTTTAATATTTTCAAGGTGGGTTTATTATTGAAACTCAGTTAAAGCATAAACGTATACAAAATACAGTTTTTAAAAATACATGTACTTAAAAGTAATTCAAAATTATAAAATGACTTAATTCAAAATGATGACTTAAAGTGGGGTATGTTGTCACACTATATGGGTAAGTTGTCACAGTGGAACCTATTCAGTAGCATTTTATAGGCTATCTAGGGTTAGGTAAAACAGTTTAAACACTAATAAAAAAAACACTGTTTTGGTCAACAGAAATTATAATTAAAACAACATATTATAACTTAATACAACATAATAATAATAATCAAAACATTTTTTAGAATTGTATAACTGATACCAGCTGTTGATATTTTAATTATATTTAAATCTCTTAAAACGATCTGTACTGATACATATTTGTACAACTAAAGCCTTTGAACATAAAAAAATATTTTAAAAATACATGTACATATCTACATTTTAATTTTAATTTAATTAATTTATCATGCATTGACCTTAAAGTGGGGCATGTTGTCACACTATATGGGGTAAGTTGTCACTGTGGAACCTATTAAATAGTATTTTATAGGTTAGTTAGGATTAGGTAGAAGAGATTAAACACTAAGAATAAAAAAATGACAATGTGTGTGTTGAAACAAATATTATTACATAAATATATTATTTGGATGATATGCAGTTATAGACTTACAAATGCATGCAATGCATCAGCTTTGAAAAATATGTAGTTGTGGTGACGACATGAGGCTGTAGTCTAGTGTATGGTTTTATATCCATACAGGCTACAGAGAATGCCATATTTCTCTTCCATCATTGGCGAGCATATTTATCTGATTCCTTATAGGAAATGCTCATGAAAGTCTTCTCATGGTAAATATAGGTGATTGTTCACACTCAATCTCTTCTCATTTGCATCTGTAGTTTTTCCAGTGTTTTAATTGGTCAGTCGGACCAGTTGGACACTTCAGATGTCTTCGATCAGATGGCAGCACTAATATGAGATGTGCAGGACGGGTCTTTCTCACACATTCCGGATCAGTGCCAGAACCTTAGCGACAATCAGTATGTCCAAAAGGTCATTTGCCTCCATTAATGGTGTCCACTGGGAGCCCAAGGCCCAAATCAATATCAACTATGGATAACAGATCATGTTTCCCTGCCTGCCCCGTCTGTCTGTGGGCCTGGTTCTTTTGTTGATCAAGTCCCTCTTTTGTCTTTCCACTTGTTCACTTTGCTTATTTTAGTCGAATCTGCATCAAGTCATTGGAAGCGCTTCTTGAAGTCTGTGCTGAGCATTCTTTTTCCTAGCAGAGCCTATATGTTTGCATATTCTCATATACTCACTCGTATTGTACTCACGACACCCACATTCTGTAAATGATGACCTAATATGACATCATCCAGCAGAGCATTTGTCAGTACACACGCATGCCGTAATGTGGTGTCACACAACAATGAAATGAATCAGTCAGCATTAATACCTTCATCTTAAATAATAAACAACAGAATTATAATAAAATAAAATAATAAATCATAACTCATTCGCATATATGATTTAAATATCTGTCAATTATGTGAACAAATTATGATTTCTATAAATTCAGTATTAATCACACTTAATATGGTTTACGTGATTGTCAGAATCCATATTAAGTGTGATTAATTAAGACTTAATTAATACATAACAGAATTATAATATAAGTCATAATTCATTGTCAAATTATGACTATTATTATATTATATGATATACATTTTGTATTAATTGATCACACTTAATATGGATTGCGACAATCATGTAATCCATATTAAGTGTGATTAATTAATAGTTAATTAGTACATAACAAAATAACAATATAATAAAATATATAATATAACAATATATAATGCTATATAATGACACTTAATATGGATAACGTGATTTGTAAATGTTGTAGATTTGTAAATAATAACAACAACAACAACAATAATGCTATTAGTAATAATAATAATATTTTTCCCCTATGGTAAAACAGGTGAAAAACAAATAAACAAATAAATAATAAAAAAGACCCACTTCCCTATTTTTATCTACAATATTTGTCCAAATGAGTTGCTATGTTTTTCTAATGCACCTTCTGGATTTTAAGTACAAATAATAATATGGATAATAATATGGACTTAACATGGATTGTGACAATTATGTAATCCATATTAAGTGTTTAATTAATAGTTAATTAATACATAGCAGAAAAATTATAAAATACAATATATATTATATCATAATACATAATACTATATCATATATTATATGAATTCAATATTAATTAATCACACTTAATATGGACTACATGATTGGTATATATATATATATATTTTTTTTTTTTTTAAATAACAACAACATTAATAATAATAATATATTACTTATATAATATGTACTTATATTCACTTGTTTTATCATTTATATTTGAAGAGATGTTATTATAAATGGCCATCACTCAGGTCTATCTGCTATTGAGCTCTATGACTGTACTGACCCTTCCCCCTCATCTCTCTCTCTCTCTCTCTCTCTCACATAAACACTTGAGGTTTACATTGAGTGTAAATGCTTCTCTGAGTTGGGAATATGAGTCAGGTGAGTATGACCTCATCTCTTTTTCCTCTGCTATGAGGTAATGTATCTCTCTGGCTCTCTTTCTCCTCTATGAGCCAATCATTAGAGGTGTTTCACCGATGACACACCCCACTGATGATTCCGATTCTCACTGTCACGTGACGCTCACACCCTCAGGCGATCTCACTGTACAGATGGATCATCGCCAACAAAACCACTGAACACTGCAATAGAATAAACATTTATGGTCCATTCTTAAAAAAAAAAATCAATTATAGTTTAACTTAGACATATTAGTTTTCTTTTTGGAATCAGTGAATTAATAAAAGAATTAAACAGTTAAATTTCTTTATACACACACACACACACACACACACACACACACGTGTGTGTATGTGTGTGTAAACCTCCTCTCTCTATAATGTAATATTTATAATTTTGTATATATGTAATGTATAATTATTTATGTTTTAAAAATTATATTTACGTTTGTCTGTTTCTGTTTCATGCATTTGAACACAAAACGTTTAAAACCTTTGAATCAAAACGTTTTTAGCTTCAAGTGTGTCCAAACGTTTGACTTGTAGTGTACAAAGAAGTGATTTGTGTTACACAGTTGCAACACGTGCTGTTGAGGTTGGAGGTTGCATTATTTTAATTAATTGATTAATTACTTAATTAATTAATTAATTTTCCCCATAGCAGACAACTGCATTTCTTTTATT